ATTTTTTATGATACAAATTTCCGTTTTCTATGATAATCTACGCAATTAGTGTCTTTCCCCAAGGTCCAATCTACTTGAAAGTCGATAATCCTTTCCCAGTGAAAATCTCTTTTTCGAGATAAATATTTCGGAAGTAGATATTTTATTTTTATATTCAAATTTCCATTTTCTGCTGATAATCTACTTCATAAGTGGGTAATATTTCCCCATAATTCGAAAATCTGCTTCCCAATCCTTAATCTACTTTCCCGGTAATCTATCTGCTTTCAGAATGGAGCTTTCTTTCGGAAATGAATATTTCCCGTTTTTATGATACAAATTTCGTTTTCTACTGATAATCTACTTATGAAATTAGGTAATATTTCTAAAATTCGAAATCTACTTTGAAGTCGATAATCTACTTTCGAAAGTGAAAATCTATCTACTTTTTCCCGGAGAAATGGGCTCTTTCGGAAAGTAGATATTTCCCATTTTTATGATACCAAATTTCCCGTTTCTGTGATAATCTGCTTGCAAAATTAGGTAATATTTCCCCAAAATTCGAAATCTACGCTTCCCAGTCGGTAATCTACTTTCTGAAGTAGAAAATCTATCTACTTTCGGGAGAATATAAATAACCAACTTCGGAAAGTAGATATTTTCCATTTTTATGATACAAATTTCCGTTTCTGATAATCTACTTCATAAATTGATGTATATTTCCCCAAATTCGAAAATCTATTTCCCAATTCGATAATCTACTTTCGAAAAGTGAAAATCTATCTCTTTTCGGGAAAGTGATCTTAACTTTCGGAAGTAGATGTTTCCCATTTTTTATGATACAAATTCCCCGTTTTCTGTTGATAATCTGCTTCGTAAATTGGGTAATATTTCCCCAAAATTGTGAAAATCTACTTCGAAAGGTCGATAATCTACTTTTGAAAAGTGAAAATCCTCTTTTCGGAAAATAAATAAATTTCGGAAAGTAGATATTTCCCATTTTTTTGATACAAATTTCCGTTTTTGCTGATAATCTACTTCCATAAAATTACGTAATATTTCCCCAAAATTCGAAAAAATCTACTTCGAAAATCGATAATCTACTTTCGAAGAAAGTGAAATCTATCTACTTCGGAAAGTAGATCTTCTTTCGGAAAGTGATATTTCCATTTTATGATACAAATTTCGTTTTCTATGATAATCTACTTCGCAAAATTAGGTAATATTTCCCCAAAATTCGAAAATCTACTTCCCGAAAGTCGATAATCTACTTTCCCAGTAGAAAATCTATCTACTTTTCAAAATGGATTCTTTCTTTCGGAAAGTAGATATTTCCATTTTTATGATACAAATTTCCGTTTTCTGTAATCTCGCCGCAAAATTGTAATATTTTGGAATTCGAAAATCTACTTCGAAAGTCGATAATCTACTTTCGAAAAATAGAAAATCTATCTACTTTTCGGGAAAGTGAATAACCAACTTTCGGAAGTGAATATTTCCATTTTTATGATACCAAATTTCCGTTTCTATGATAATCTACTTGCAAAATTAGGTAATATTTCCCCAAAATTCGAAAATCTACTTCCCGAAAAGTCGATATCTACTTTTGAAAGTAGAAAATCTATCTACTTTTTCGGGAATGAATGACCTTTCGGAAAGTAGATGTTTTCCCATTTTTAGTGATACAAATTTCGTTTTCTGTGATAATCTACTTTGTAAATTACGTAATATTTCCCCAAAATTCAATCTAGCTTTAAAGTCGATAATCTTTCGAAAAGTGAAAATCTATCTACTTTTCGGGAAAGTGAAATCTTAACTTCGGAAAGTAGATATTTTCCATTTTTATGATACAAATTCGTTTCTATGATAATCTACTTCCATAAATTAGGTAATATTTCCCAATTGAAATCACTTCCCGAAATTCGATAATCTACTTTCGAAAGTAGAAAATCTATCTTTTCAGGAAAATGAATATCTTCGGAAAGTGAATTTTCCATTTTTATATTCTAATTTCGTTTTATGATAATCTACTTGCATAATTAAATTAATATTTCCCCAAAATTCGAAAATCTACTTGAAGTCGATAATCTACCCGAAAAGTGAAAAATCTACTTTCGGGAAAAATAGACCAACTTCGGAAAGTAGATATTTCCCATTTTTGTGATACAAATTTCCATTTCTATGATAATCACCTTTGGAAATTGGGTAATATTTCCCCAAAGAGTCGATAAATCTACTTCCCCAAAAGTCGATAATCTACTTTTCGAAAAGTAAAGATAATCTACTTTTCGGAAATGAAATAATGCTTTCGGAAGTAAGAATATTTTCCCATTTCATGATACAAATTTCCCGTTTTCTATGATAATCTCTTCGGAAAATTAGGTAATATTTCCACGTGATAATCTAGCTTCAAAAGTCGATAATCTGCTTTCGAAAGTGATAATCACTTTCGGGAAAATAATAACTTTCGGAAAGTAGATATTTCCATTTCTGTGATACAAATTTCCATTTCTATGATAATCTCTTTGGAAGATTAGTAATATTTCCCCCAAAGTCGATAAAATCTACTTCCAAAGTCGATAATCTCTTTCGAAAATGAATAATCTACTTTCCGGAAATGAATAATAACTTTCAGAAGTAGATATTTCCCATTTCTGTGATACAAATTTCCCGTTTTCTATGATAATCTACTTCGGAGAAAATTGGTGTATTTCCCCAAAGTCGATAATCTACTTCCCAAAAAGTCGATAATCTACTTTCCAAAGTAGATAATCTACTTTTCGGGAAAGTAGATAATAACTTTCGGAAAGTAGATATTTCCCCATTTTCTGTGATACAAATTTCCGTTTTTCTGATAATCTACTCGTAAGTTCGAGCTTAAGAGAAAAAAATAGCCTAAAAGTAGATAATTAGAAAAAAAAATAACGTACGATATCTTTATTCTCAAAAGATCGTAAGTATCTACTTTCAAGTTATTTTCTGTTAAGTTCGAACTTACATTGAATAATAAGATTGTAAGTCTTTTTTTTCTCGTAATTTCAATTCTCAAGGGATGGTGTCATTTTTCTCTTCTGCGAGTTTTTTCCGATCGAATTTTATTCCCAAGATGCGGTTTTAGGGCTAGTGTAGTGTGTGTAGAAGGGTGCAGTGGAGAGGCGAGGTGTGTAGGAGGAGGGCGAAGTGTGGAGGGTGTGGATTAAGGTGCAGATTAGTGCAGGGGTGTGTGGGAGGTGGATGAGGGATGGGGTGCCGAGGTGGAGCGGAGGTGGGCAGGTGTCGAGGTGGAGGGCGACGTGGAGGGTGGGTGTCGGGGTGGAGGGTGGGTGTCGGGGTGGAGGGTGGGTGTGGAGGAGGGTGGGTGTGGAGGAGGAGGGTGTATAACTAACACTCGTTGTCAGGATATTTTGGCATTGAATGATACAAATTTATTTTAAGATAAGTTTATAAGCACATTATGGTTTTGGTTCTATACATAGGAACTGATATAGCAACTAAGTGGTAACGACCTTAATACAGTAAGTCGGTTGCCTTGCCACTAGAGATAAAGTGTTGTGTCATTTCACACAGTGTGCTTGATGAACCTGTCCCAAAAAGGTTCTATCTTCACACAGTCGAGGACGTAGTGTTGGAGTGTGGCCATATGTCTGGCCACACTTTTTTACATTTAGTTTTGTTCACATCTGCTTGAAGGACATACTGCCAGAGGGACTATCCCAACCTTAGCCTAGCGGTTACATCATCATCTTGCAATCTAGTGATTGTGTTACTTGTTCCATATACATGTTTCACTCGATACATCCCATATTGGTAAACAATTGATTAACTAGTGCCTGTTTGCACTTGCCTGCTTGCGTCAAATTCATCAGCAAGTTCCTTCCTAATTACATATGGATACTGAAACTGTTTATCTTACCAGAAAAAATACAGATACAGTTTCAATAATAATAACAATATTGGCATTATAGTGCTAATATTACTTATTAAAACAATGAACCTTCAAGGTGAGTGAACGTGTATTAACTGCTTTTGCGATGGTTGTGTGCAGCAATGGTGGTCTTGTTGTTACTGGTCGCTTCACCCACCACCTAGGACTGTATTAGCGACGGCAGAGAGTTCAGATGTTGGCGCCGGGTGAGGTGAGCACCAGACAGCTCACAGCCGGGGGACATGAGAACACCACCTTCGAGTCACCCCACACAGAAATCTTGCTCCTTGAATCCATTGCCGTGTGCTGTCTAAATATGGAAACGGGTTTAATATCAACGTACATACAAAGGATTTTACATTTTTCAGTCAAAGTCTTATTGTCACGGTTGAGTTTGCTTGTGGAGGTGAATGAATCTAATGTTTGAATAATTTAAACTTGTCTTATGACTTCTTGGAAAATTTTATGATAAATGACTCGAAGTATGCATCTAAGGTAATGGCAACAACAATGAGTGAACAAAACATATTGATTAAATAACATCTTAATCCTACACTTAACCTATTATGCAAGAAATCATAACATCATCATACTCACTGTGCAACAATGTCACCCTGGTACATCTGGCCAACTGTACGTCCGCAGATGTTTCAGTACACCTGCAGTGGGGCTAGGAAAGTAGAGGATGGTTAAAGTAGGTAAGTGTCTTGGTGAGCGTGCAGTAAAGGACACCCAGTCGGTCAGCTGTTCCTAGACAGTGTTTACTCTGCCCGTGCTATTCTCCGTCTCCACCAGTATCAGCCAGAGTTCACCTCGCTGCCTCCGACACGAATTATCAGCACAGTTGCGTTCACCGAGAATAAGAACATAAGAACATAAGAATGGAGGAAACTGCAGCGGGCCTATTGGCCCATACTGGGCAGTCCCGTTTACACCCAACCCCTATTGCTCATATAAGCATCCAACCTATGTTTGAAGGTGTCCAGCGTATTCGAGTTAATGATGATATTTGGTAAGACCAACATAGTTATTTAACCATGACAGTACCCCCTGAACAGTAGAAATTTAATTTTAAAGTTCTAAAAAATATGCTCTAATTACTTTAACTCAATGCCCTCAATTGAGGAAAAATTATTACTTCTGTATCCTACAAGAAATATATCATTGTATCTAAATATATCCATTAAGTTGTCCAAAACATTCCCATTAATATACTGTAATATAAACCCAAGTATATTATCCTCTTCGTATAAACTAATGCCTTAAGTCACTCGTATTTACAAAGAAACAATCAATGTTTTCCATTTATGTAATAACACACCCACCACTCTCACCCAAAATGACAATTCGCCTAATTAATGTACATTCTAAATGCCCTAAAAAATATTAATTTGCAAATAATGATGGCCAGGATTATTTCAATTAAAATAGTATTAAATGGCAGGAAATGGGACGTTGGTGTAGTATTTTTTATTTTATTTTTTTTTTTGGGGGGGGGAATGGGTAAGGGAGGATTGGGTGTGTAGGGGAAAAGGGGTGGTAGGGGAAAGGGGTGTGGTAGGGGTGTGGGTGGGGGGAAAGGGGGGTGTGGTGTAGGGGAAAGGGGGGTGTGGTAGGGAAAGGGGGTGTAGGGGAAAGGGGTGTGGTAGGGGAAAGGGGGTGGGTAGGGGAAAGGGGTGGTAGGGAAAGGGGGTGTGGTAGGGGGAAAGGGGTGTGTAGGGGAAAGGGGGTGTGTGTAGGTGGTGTAGGGGAAGGGGGGTGGCAGGGATATACAATATATATACAATTTGAGTCCTCTGTTTTTAACCTATACAACTTTTCAGAATACACCTTTAAATAATGGTTAATATCTGGGTGGTAATTAAATTGTTGTCTATGAATTATAATTGACTTTTTTAATTATATCTGAGTAATACATTCGGGGACTGATTTGTTAATATATATATAGTGTTAAGTATTGGTTAAGTATGTCTAGCAACCTTTTAATACCGCTGTGAGTTTTCTTCAGTTTTGTAATATATGTTATCATGCACAGGTAAACATTCACAGGTGTTATATGGTAATTTTAATATGGCAGTTATTATCATATGAATTCCCATTATTTTGACTACAGTAACAACGGTAAAAAGGACTTGTATTATTGCATACTCCTCTGTGTGTCTGTATCTCTCTCAAACATTCTTTCACCCTCTTAATTTCCTTTCTCTTTCTCACTCTACCCATCCCTCTTTCTCACTCCACCCATCCCTCTTTTTCACTCCACCCATCCCTCTTTTTCACTCCACCCATCCCTCTTTTTCACTCCACCCATCCCTCTTTTTCACTCCACCCATCCCTCTTTCTCACTCCACCCATCCCTTTCTCAACTCCACCCATCCCTCTCTCACCACAACTGCCCTCACACTCATCCCACCTAAAATGAATGTAGAAGCTTGGCTTGGTTCAAGGCGAATATCCCATCCTAACCAACCGTGGCCCAAAGGTCCTCTCACCCATCTAAACACAGTGAAGCAATTGGTCCACAAACCCCCAATAAAACAAAAACCCCTCCCCCATCCCCTATTGCCCTGGATTCAACCTCTCACCTTCACCAAAACCACCATCACACCCTCCGCCTCCGCTTCTACCACGAAAGGTGATCAAAACAAAGGGTACAGTAGATAATGGAGCCAGGCCGAATACTCCCAAGTTTGTCATTTGACTAAGCGTATATACGTTGTCTCTCTCTCCTTCGTTATCTTCCCGTTTAATTCTTCACTCTCTTTCTAACATTCTTTCTCTGGTTATTTACTTCTACTCCTAAGCCCTTCTTCCTCTCTCTCTCTCTCTCTATTCCCTACGCTCCAATGTTGCTCTCCCTCCCTCTTTATTGGTGTATCTATCTCTCTATCTTTGTCCTCTTTCTTCAAATTCCCTCAACTTTGTCTTCTTCATTTCCCTCCTCTTCTAACTTGCCTTCCATCTCCCCCTTCCGTGTAATAACTCTTCTCCCCTTTTGTATACATCTCCCATTTTCTTCTCCCTCCTCTCCTCCCCTCCACGTCACGGCATCTCCTTCCTCCCCTCATCTCCCCACTTCCTGTCTCTTGTCATTCTCTTATCCTTACCATCTTCTCCCCTTATCTCCCCTCCTGTCTGTCTCTCTCTCCTCTCACGTCTGCTCATTTTTATCCCCCTTCCCATTTCTCTCTCTCTCTCTCTCTCTTTACTCTTACTACCTCCTCTTCCTCTCTTCTTCTATCTTTTTGCATCTCCTTTTCCTCCGTTTCTTCATTGTTCCCCTAGTCCCTCTCCTCGCATTTTTTTTAAACCCCTAATACACTTTTGGGGTTTAAATGCCACTTTTTTTTTAAAATGTTTCACCTCACATAATGGTACGTAATTTCTGACTGACTTCACGTTCACAGATGTCAACAGATAAGTCACGATGTCAGGTACCCCATAACCCTCTGTGTGTGTGTGTGTGTGTGTGTGTGTGTGTGTGTGTGTACAAGGGAGGTAAATCCTTAATCAGAGTCGGAATTCACGAAAATTCTGTACGCGAACTCTATCCAATGACTAATGCTAAGAGAATGTGTCATAGATTAGGTAGTGTCCGCGTAATTTGGGCACCATTTTGGTCATTATGTTTTGCCAATAGTAAGTCTGTTCCATGTGTTCTTATACCACCATTTATGAGGACAATTTACCATATGGTTTTTTCTCTTATAGTATTTTTTGGTACTATTAATAAAATGGATAAAAATTGATCTTTTTTTACCCCCAGCTTAGTTTTGGCGTAAAAATTATTATAAAAAACTCACCTGAAAACATTTTGAGTACCCTGCCTGAGGCATGACGTCATCAGAGGAGCTTGTCAACAATTTAGCATGGAGGTCGGCAGTAATTAACAGGCCGGGTGAAGTTGTTTCAGTAGTTACAGCTCAAATTTCTATTTAAAAAAGTTGATATGAGGTCAAAATACCAAAACTGAAATGAAAAAAAAAGTTAAAATATAATAAAACAAATTAATAACATAATATGGTTCCTACTTTGGTCAGTATTATTACAATTATCTACAATAACTGAAGGCTCACATTACCGTTCAGAATTATGCCACAGGTCAACGCAGGGTGACTGTCGCCTGGACTACTAACACCACCACCACCTCAACCACCACCATAACCACCACCTCAACCACCACCATAACCACCACCATAACCACCAGCAAACAGCCAAAGTAACACCAGACTAACGGAGACCTCACTGGCAACACTGTATTGTCACCTCGGTGGTAATACAGTACAGTAGAATCTAATCTGAACAAACTTATCGGTGTGTAATGATCGTAAGGGCTTGTCCATTTTCATTGCTTTTCGTTACTATTATCATCCCTGTTTGTTCGTCAATATTTACTTCTCTTCCTCACCATTTTTCATCCTCCATTTCCTCCCTCTATATTCACCATCTTCCCTCGACCCTCTTCTTCCTTCTCAACCTTTCTATCACCTTTCCCTACCATCCCTTACCTCTTCTCCTGCCCACTCTTTCATTCCTCATCCTTCCTCCTCTACACATCCATTCCCCACCATCCCTCAACCCCACACCCACCATCCTTCACCCCTCCCGAGGTGTTCAGTGAGACATTAATGGTACAAGCAGAATGATCTACATAATTGGCTCACGCGTCGCTCCGTTGTTTCTATTAGTTTGTAAAGGAAGATTTATTGCTTGCATAATTATGTAGGGAGGCATCGGATGGCTGTGTGTGTGTGTGTGTGTGTGTGTGTGTGTGTGTGTGTGTGTGTGTGACTGTCACTCAGTCTTCTTCTGTCTGTCCCCGTCTGCCACCTGCTCCACCCTCGCCCCTCCCACCGTTCTACCCGCCAATATAATCCGCCATAAGGCTAAGTTACTGCTGTGATTCTAACCTTTAATTTGTCTGTGATTCCTACATATTTTTTTTCCTATGGTTCTCTGCAATTTACGCTGTGATTTTGACTTTTATTTGGCTGTGATTATTCCATTGTGATCTTGACGACAAAAGGTACACGTGCATATAAACGTAACAACCGCAAAGAACCCGTAAACATAACAAAAAGAACAACAAACGTACAATAATAATGACTAAAACCCAAATGACGAACCTCCTAAAATACAGGGTGGCGTATAAGTCACTTCATCGAGAACACTGTAGTGAAAAATAATGCACCACCCTGTATGATAACCCCCCCCCCCCATACAGTATACAAGTACCAACACAAGAATAGTGACTAGGAGTGTGAGTGTATCTAGAAGTGTATTTACTACCTCTCTCTCCTCCGTTCATTGTATACTTCAGTACAATCAAAATGAAACAGATTTTACTACAATGACTCTACAATAATCATCAGCTAGACGGTAAACAATCTCAGATACTTACAAAACTTCATCACCTGAACTTTTCCTACTGACAGTAATTTCAGGCACTTGTCAACCGTGTGGTTAGATGCTGCCTGAGTTCCTGATGCTGTACGATTAAAATTTTATCACCAATGGACAACAACACGACGACTGTTCTCATGTAATGTTAGAAAAAATGTGTGAAATTAAACTTGATCTCTGAAATATGGAATTTATGACTACTAGTTAGTAGTAATTGTTGTTGTTTTTGTTAGTAGTAGTAGTAGTAGTAATTGTTGTTTTTGTTAGTAGTAGTTGTTGTTAGCAGTAGTGATGGTGTGTGTGTGTGCGCGCGACAAACACACACACACACACACACACACACACACACACACACACACACACAGTACTAAAATAAATATTACCCCTTTGTTTGGTCTTTTCAAAGGTCACCACACTGAACATATGACCTTCTAGGCTAAAATCAACAACTCCTCACCTGTCTCCCACTCCTGAACTGCAGCTGGACGGTTTACTTCAGTAGGTATCAGGACGTTTTAACTTGGAATAAACCGAGGGAATAACGCCGTAACAAAGAGAGTCTTTGTTACGTTCTGGCCCCGTTACGTTCGGTCTTGTCTTTGTTATGTTCCTGTCACGCTCTGCCTCGTCTCTTGTTACGTTCCACATCCGTTACTTTCTGTTGCTGTTTTCATTTCGTCTACATTACGTTCC